TGTGTGAATCTCTGTTTGTATGTGTAAGGGCTGCAAGGTGTGTTTCTGTGTATGTACGGGATGCAGTGCGTGCATCTGTAAGGGATGCATTGAGTGTGTGTAAGGAATGCATTGTGTGTTTCTGTGTGTGTAAGGGATGCATTGTGTGTAAGGGTTGCATTGCTTGTGTGTTTGTGTAATGCATTGTGTGTGTAATGCATTGTGTGTTTTTCTGTGTGCAAGGGGTGCATTGATTGTCTTTGTGTGTAAGGGGTGCATTGTGTGTGTGTGTGATGGATGTCAATCTCTCCCCCCTCCCTTGTCACTCTCTTCTCCCCCCTCTCCCTCCCTTGTCACTCTCTTCTCCCCCTCTCCCTCCCTTGTCACTCTCTTCTCCCCTCCTCCCTTGTCACTCTCTTCTCCCCCCTTGTCACTCTCTTCTCCCCTCCCCCTCCCCACTCTCATTCCCTCTCCCCTGTCACTCTCACCCCACCGGTCAATTTCTTTCTTTCCCCCGTCAATTCCCCTCCCCGTCAATTTCTTTCTCTCCCCTCACTGTCAATTTCTTTTCTCCCCTCACATTTCTTTTCCCCTCTCCTGTCAATTTATTCCTCCTCCCTGTCAGTTTCTTTCTCCCCCCTCCTGTCAATTTTTTCTACCCCCACATTTCTTTCTCCCCGTCAATTTCTTTCTCCCTCTGTCAATTTCTTTCTCCCCCCACTGTCAATTTCTCCCCCCCTGTCAATTTCTTTCTCCCCCCTCCCCTACCTCTGTTGTAGCGTGGCCGAGCTCTGTATGGTCTGCGGATACAGGCTTTTGTTTCCTGTACCCGGCCGGACTAAAAGGAAGTGCACACTCAGTGTTAGTCCGGCAGGGTACAGGAGACAGATGCTCCCTGTACCCGCCGTCCATACAGGGCTCGGCCACGCTACAGAGAGGGAATGACAGGAGGGAACGCTGAGCGCTTCCCTCCTGTCAGCCCCTCTCCTCATGCTGCGCCCGGGCGGTGCGCCCTCATGGATGCTCCAGCCATGGCAAAGCTGCAGCCGCCTGAGGCTCTCTGCAGAGCGCTCGGGCGGCTGCAGCATGTGGGGGGGCGGCGCTCCTGGCTGCCTAGTCCGCCTAACAGGTAGCGCTGGCCCTGCTTCCATGTTAGAGCATAGCTGCAGGTTACCACGGCAACACTATGATACTTTCCTTGACACCTCAGCCCCTATTTCCCCACACACCCTACCAGACATCCCAAGTCTCCCAGTAACTCCGGGAGACACCTGCATTTTTAATGCGGCTACGATGTATGTCAGATTGTGTGTGTTTGATTTCCAGGATATTATATATGATAAATGGCCTCAATAAATGCCCCCTACTGATTATCCACCCGACGGGTGTTGTTTCTGAACAGGGTCATGGTCCGGCCTTATCTGCCGGCTGAGAGTAAGTGATATCCTGTAATTTTCTTGCAGCTAAAAAGATAGCCATGCGGGAAGTAGGAAGCTGGAGGCAACACCACCACAGGCAGCATGGAGAGGCTGGAGTGAGCTGCTGCATGTTTACTCCCATCAGCCTCAGACCCCAAGCAACCTACCCTTCAGGACCCAAAAGGTAAGCTAAGAGATATATGTCAGATTGTGTGCATGCATGCATGCGTGCGTGTGTGTCATTGTGTGTAACTGTGTGTCAATGTGTATCTGTGTATATGTGTCAGTGTGTGTATGTGCCAGTGTGAACCGGAACATCATAGGGACAAAACCCAAATTGCCCAAAACTAAAATATACTTTTGGACTAATTGATTCAAACAAAACAAACTTGTTTGGCATATGCAAGTCTAATATCCATATTTTTTCACTGGTTTCACTATTGATATTACTTAAATATAATAATGAAAGAGAGCACAATATCCATGTGGATAAGGAAAGCCAGCCTATTATTGTACTAGCTCTCTAGCTCACTAAGAGTTTATTAACAGGTTATTCAGTAAAGTGAAAATTGACTGGAATTCAAAATAATTTCAAAGTTCAAACTGATTTTTACATTTATTTTTTTTAGCAAAATAGCTGAATTACAAACCTAGCTGACATGGAGCTATTTTGGCCTAACTATAAACAAAAATGTGAATACTCAAAAATTCCAACTGCCCTAAATAATTATGGGGGTTAATTCCCCGAACTTCGAATTGTAGTGAACTTAAATCTGAAATTATAAAATTGAGGCCAAAATTCTATAACTCAGCTATGGTTACAGCGTAGCCTTCATTTTTCAATCTGTTTTTTAATGTATTACAATTCAAGTTAAGTTAATAACTCATTGTGGACGGGATGGATATTAAACCTGAAATGCCATTCGTTTTCCAACATACATGGCCTCTAAGAGTTAAAAAAAAAATAAAAAAAAAAGATGGTTATAACTGCAAACTTTTGAAAGCAATGGAGACAAAACACCTCTGTTTTATTTCCCCTCCTTTTAATTAAAGTTTTAATGTCAGAGGCAGCGTGGATTACAAATATACCCATGGTCCCACTGCCATCAGAATCTGAACTCTGTTGCTCCATCTGTTGACATTGTAGTTCAGATCTGTACACTGCGATGCTTTGTAAGGCAAATAAGGGAACAGAAGTTGGTATGGCAGGAGTTAATGTTTTCTAAAAGCACCCTGGATCTCACTAGCAGTGTCGTGCCTATTGTAATAGTATCTGTCACATTACGTACATATATATCTGTCGCACCATAGTGCTCTGTTGACCACCTGGCTTGAATTAAGAAAGGAAAATGATTAAGGAATGCGATAGGATTGTAATTACTTTCAAACGCATTAAACAATTTTTAATACAAAATACACATTTACATCAGGGATGATTTCTTTTGAAGACTTCAACTTCTTTCTTCGGCCACCCTTTCGGTAGGAGAAACGCTTTCGTCATACAAGCTGTCTTCTTCCCTGCTGGCACAGCAGGTTTTATTAGGGGTTGCTAGCTCAAGGATGCCGTTCACGGAGCTAAACTCAGCATGGGTGCCAAAGATTTTGTCCCAGTGAGTGAAGTGAGGGGCATAGTTGCTCATGGGCTTTTGATGATGCATATCATGTTTTATTGGCCCGCCATAGATTCCAAATGGTATCAGGTTGGGTGTTGACCAGGGGAAATCATATCCACAGTGGTCTTCTACTGAGACGTACACGTGGAATACCATAAATATCCAGCACGTGAGAAGATGACACCTGAAGATGATGGGATTTATTGTGGTCCAAAACCCAACAGTCACAAGTTCCCAACCACCAAGACACTGTGTGGCCAGAGAAAAAGGAGCCATGTATTCATGATGAATGGCATGAAAAGTCTTATAAAGCCATCGGTTTTTGTGGTGGATCATGTGCCAGATAAAATACTGGAAATCGAACAGTAGAAGGCTTCCCACCACCCCAAACACTATATCCAGGATGGTAGGAGACTCTTCTGGGAGAGGAGATGGAGGTCTCCAGTACCACTGGGCAACTGCAGCAGGGAATATGAAGAACAGGTGATTGTACAGCGTAACCCCAAGACAATGGAGGATCATAGCTCCTGTAGGGTTCCTGTCCTGTTGGATCTTGTATTTGTGGATATAAGGCCACCTCCTGCCCATGAGGTTGAAGACCAGATAAGGGATGCAGAAAATAACATAAGATGATACGGTGAGGATCACAGGAAAGAGTGGAGACCTCAAAGTATCAGAGTAATAAAGCCGTAGGTAATCCCACAATGGCTGTATCACCGGACGGCTGGAAAGAGAATTATCCAAAATCTGAGACAGGCACGAGATCCCCTCCATTGTCAGCACCTGCTCAGCCGAACTCTTCAAAAGGAAAAGCAACATACTCTATTCCTTTTTATTATTCATTTGGATGGTGCAGAGCTGACTCCCCCTCCCATTCAGCATCTCATACAAACCCAACAATTCAAACCCTTTAAGCTCCCTGACAACACAGCCTGGCTCCAGGAGGATAATGTGACTGATTTAAAGGGACCGCAAGAGACACACAGGCAGCAGACACGAGTGAAAGTTGTAGGTTAACATAAGTGGCCATACGCAGGAATGTGTCTCGTTTCATTTAGTAAACTCTTTATTAGAACTAGAATTCACTGTCAGTCATAGACATCACAGAGGAAAATTCTTGAAATAGCCTTTTAACCTCTTCACTTCTTGAACCCGTATCCCATGTGTAAAGACACCATGCGAAGATCCAACAATGCATTTTAAGAACATATAATCTAATAATAAAATAAAGAGTGATACAGTCACAAAATGAAATGGTGTGTTTAGTAAGATAAATGTATAATATTGAACAATGCTGTGATATGTATTAATGTATGTAACTCCCACCAAACTCAAGGGAATGGGGTATGTCCTCGGGTGACTCTACAAAATAAATTCTAGCCCTTAGTTAATTAAAAAAAATATATATGTAAGATACACAATGGTGAAGCATATATTAAGGGTGGGGGGGGGGGAAGGGGGTAAATAAATATTACAACATTATGATAAAACAACAATTTATCATGATTTTTGTTTTCAATGTGCCTGTTCCAAGCCTACAGTACTGACATTCAGTTACGTATAAAATTTGCATACTGCTAATGCTGCATTGAACGAAAACATCAAACTGTATAAAATGAACATGAATGAACAGATCCACATTCACATACCTCTACACTCAAAGAAAGCAAATGAAATGAATACCCACTCTTGCAGGGTAGACTGAACCAGATATTGCACATAGACACACACAGCTGTCTGACAGACATACCAGTACAACTACAGGAGACATGTAGAAATTCATATACAAACTGACAAACAATGTAACATTTGGCAGAATCTGATATAAAAAGAGTGCACACTAATAACCCCAAATACAGGTTGGGATAGTGCTAACAGCAATACCTGTATTATACATGTAATAAAGTTAGATAATTCATTATTTCTGTGTTGGTGATGTTTTATCCTGAATTCAGTTATTGGCATCTACCAGGATGGGTATTGGCTGGTTCTATGTTCTATAATCCTCAAAACTAGATGTTCCAAAAATCAAGTCCCAGTGGCCAAAAAAAGGAGCAAAGTTTGTTTCTGGTTTCTGGTGATGTAAGTCATGTGCCAGGGCTCCACCATATAACCCAAAAGGTAAGATGTGGCTAAGAGACCAGGGCAAGTCGTAGCCAATATGGTCATTCACAGACATCCAGATGCTAAGCAGATTGCATACCCAGGCTGTAAGTGGATGGCACCCTAACATAATGGGATTGGTGCTACTCCAGAAGCCAACGGTCATCAACTCATAGCCTCCAAGGTTTTGACTTGACCAGGAGAACGGGGCAATATATTTGTGGTGAATAGCATGGACCTTCTTGTAGAGCCAGTGGTTTTTATGGTGTAGTATATGCCATACAAAATACTGAAAGTCAAACAAGAGAAGACAACCAAAAACTTCCCCAAGAAGAGTACACACAGAGGGAGCAGTGGCTGGCAAAGGTGGTGGAGGCATGCAAAACCATATCACCGTAACCACTGGGAAGACATAGACCAGGTGGTTGGAAACAGCTTTCCAGATACACATACACATCATCATTTTGGTTGGGTGTTTCTCCTTCTGGATTTTGTATTGGTAAAAGAAGTGGCATCGTTTTCCCAGCAGATCCGCAACAGCGAAGGGGAAACTGAACAAAACATATCCAGAAAAGGCCAGCAAGACTGGGAAAAATGGGGAGCCCACTCGGTCATCAAATTTATCAAGAATATAATCCCAAAATGGCTGGAGAAATAGACGTTGTTGGCTGTTGGATGCACACATTCTGCTTTCTGTGGATCAAGAGGCCTTTGGTGCCTAATTTATCTGCAAGTTAATCCAGAAGCAAAGACAAAACATGTCCCAAAACGAACTTTGATTTTTTTTCTGGTCCGCCTATAAAAAGCTCATTATGTAATGGAAGCTTAAACAGTAGTTTCACTTGCAGATTTATTGATCAACAGGGCACATTGTTCATAAATCTACTTTCTCAGATAGGATCTAAGTCTTAGGACTCAGAAAAGACTTAGATCTTCTTAGCTGCCACAAAATGAGCATAGAGGAACCGTATCCTTATCCTAGATATAAGATAAGGCCAGGGACTAATGAAAGTATTTAGACTAGACGGGCCGAATGGTTCTTATCTGCCGTCACATTCTATGTTTTTATGTTTTCATTTATTTAAATCAGGAGAAATTTTGATTAGTTTAGAATTTAACTGATGGCTTTTCTACTAGCATGTTGGTGGAATGCTTGTCAAACAATGGTTCAAATGGCCTCTGTCTGTCAATTTACTGCAATGCCTAACATCCACAAACATTACCTGCCTTTGATTGCAATATTTTAAATGACAAAGATTTGTAATGGTTGGATCCCTCTCAAAACCTGTTGTATATATTTTGTTTCTGCGTAGTAAAGTAATTATTTTGTACCCGATTCCTAATGTATCCAGCACAGTAGCACCATAAATAATACATATTCAGACCGACAATAATTAAAAACATCTGCAGAGCTATGAGCTGTTAATCCCAGTCCACTGCCTTCCGTTTCATTTAGAATGTTTGAAATTAAAGGCAAATGAGAGAGTCTGTCATACTGAGGGCACAGCTGTCTGAGTACATTAAACTCCCACATGCATCAGATGACTAAGACTAGTTAGAACGATGATGCTGATAACCAGTCATACTCATTATATTACTTCTTCCTTTGCCATTCAACATTTGTTCAACTTGTGTGTGCAAACATACACAGCCACACGGACCACTTGGATGGCCATTTCTCTCCTCCTGCCTACAGCTCTCAATTTGCATGTGGTACAACCAAGCAGTTTTTATATTAAATGACCACTATAATGCCAGGAAAACAAACTTGTTTTCCTGGCACTATAGTGCCCTGAGGGTGCCCCCACCCTCAGGGTCCCAATCCTCCCCCCTCTCGACGGGTTGAAGGAGGAGGAAGGGGGTAAACACTCACCGTTCTCCAGCGCCAGGCTCCCTCGGTTCTGATGTCTCCGGCTGTATACGTATGCACTGCAAGAGCCGCGCACGCATTCAGCCAGTCCATAGGAAAGCATTCTCAATGCTTTCCTATGGACGCTGGCATAGAGGCGGAAGCGCCTCTCAATGAGACAGCAGCTAGAGGCTGGATTAACCCATATGTAAACATAGCAGTTTCAGCAGGCAGGGTTAACCCTAGATGGACCTGGCACCCAGACCACTTCATTGAGCCTGGTCTCAAGTGGTCTGGGTGCCTATAGTGGTCCTTTAACATTTGCCTATATCATTTGTACAATGTGTGAAAATGGTTGTCAAATCAAGCCTTTAATATCCCTTTAATTTTTTTAGCTTTTTTTTCATTATTTTCTTAATTCATAACAAGTGTAAACACAGTGCATGTGGCAAGTTGAAGACCTGTCTCTGGTGTATACACCGGATTGGGAGTAAATATTATCACTGTATTTATTATTTAAGTTTATTGTCAAATACACTAAGTAACACATTTTTTTTTCTTTCATAGATTAGCTTTTTACATTAAAATGGTCTGCACACAGTGCCCCTGCCCAATTAATCCTGCAATGTTAATTATTGCAGTCTCTGAGATACTGCAATAATTAAATTGCTGAGTTAAGACTGCCTTTAGTGGCTGTCAATCAGAGAGCCACTAGAGGCACTTCCTGTTTGCTAGTAGACTTTTGTTCACCGAACTGACAGTCAGTTAAATCCCCATAGGAAAGCATTAAAGCAATGCTCTCCTATGGGGAGGGACTAACGTGCTTGAGTTGCTTGCAGTGCATATGCATTAGCTCCCCTTCTCGGGTGACATCAGAGAAGGCTGATCAGGCGCTGAAACCGGGTTAGTAGAGTAAGGGTTTATTAACCCTTTATTGGCAAGGGGCTTGTGGGAGAGAATGGCCAGAGGGACAGGATAGCGTTAGGAATGCACTATTGTACTGCTAATGTTATAGTGTTCCTTTAACCATCCAAGACTTGAAGCTTCTTTATTGTATAAAATGTTAAAACCTATGAATTAAAGAAGGGTGGATCAAAGGGTTTCTACATATTTTAAAGACAGATGGTTCAAATTAATTTTCCTTAGTAAAAAAAAATGTTCTTATTCAGCTCTCAGTCAATCTTCTTTATTTAATTAGATTTTCCAGATCAAAAAAAGAAAACAAGGTTGCACAGAATAGAAGCCTTGTATACAATCATTAGCAGTAAGATGCAAAAATGTACAAGTATGCAGATCCCGTAGAAATCAGCTTAATCCGGCCATGTCACAAACCTAGTACTTCTGAAAACAAAACAAAAAAGGAAAACAGAATGTGCATGGGGACAATTCTCTTAAAGGGGAACGCTCCCTTTCCATGAACTTTAATATTAGGTTTACTTATCCATATGTTTAACAAATATGCATTTGTGAGGTATAAAAATTTGTTTTGAAAAAAATTAACAGCATTATTAAGAATTCAAAGTGAATTCCAAATTTAAGGCAGACGTAGCCGAAATGGAAACAAAGTCAATTAGCTATGCTTCCAGTTGGGCTATTTTTGGCTTAAATTTGAAATTCACTTCAAATTTTCACTTTATTGAATAAACCTGTAAATGAAAAAATTCACACCTCTTTATCCTGTAACACCATCTTTGCTCCCTGTCAATCATTGTTATAAGCTCTGTCCTTTGCACTGGCAGTCAGCTTAGAGAAATATAGTCTTCATGTTTGGCGTCATAATGACATAATTAAATCAACGCAAGGTATGTGACTGAATGATGTACTGCACAATGCAACTCTAGCTTTTAGCTAATATCTTTGAATTCCTTTTTTGAAGTATGCCACCAAGAGGCCCATCTTAGAGGTGAGGCAGCAATGAGAACTGACAGCCCGACTGCATGCCTCAACTACTCCTCCGACACACTCCACCAACCTGCAAAGGTCCACATCATCTTTGATGCCTACTGATAGCCTGCCGGGTTAGAAAATCCTTCTTCCTACAGAGCAGAAGCACCACAACACTATTAAGCAATCGGGACCCAGAGAGCCTGAAGCAGAGCCTGTAGCAGTTTAAGGCCCAGACAGGACTTGGGAGTTCTGGGTCTTTGATCCTCTTAACCCCTAGATGGCGGTATTGTACAGGAGATTGGCGGCAACTACATGCAAGCTCCCTACCTGTGCTCATGCTCCGTGCTTACATCCGCATGAGGGATTTTCTTCTAAAAACACAGTTGTTCCCTTGAAAGTTGTGGAATTGGGTGAAGGCACTGGACACATACTGAAACCAACAAAAGTTGGATTGCGGTCTAGCTACCATCTGGTGTACTCCTGCAATTATTCACTTTTTATTTACTCTTGGTATTATGGCGGCTTCCCTTTTATCTTTTTGAATTCATCAACAGTGCCAAGTGCTATGTGTTTATTTCTTTATCTTACCTCTTGTGTTCCTCTTGTTTAATTACACACTTACTGATGGAAATGTCCCTCCTATGCAGAATCTTCAATGTCTGTACTATTACTCTTCATATAAACATGCACATCAAAAACAAAGAATTATTTAAAAAAATATATACACTTTTTTTCCAGAGTTGCGCAGATCCTTTCCGACTGTCCTCGCCTCCTTGGCTGAGATAATCAAACTTGATGAGATCTCAGCCAATCCAATGTGGGTGCTATTGAGCATGCGTAGGAAAATGCGGTGTGGAGATGCGGAACGCCAGTATTGTGCAGCACTGACCCAAGAAGCACCTCTAGTGTCTAGGGGACTGCCACTGCAGGTGTCCCTAGGCAGTAATGTAAACACTGCCTATTCTCTGAAACGGCAGTGCTTACATTAAAAAGTCTGCAGGGGCAGGCAGTAGCAACCAGAACAACTACATTAAGCTGTAGTTGTTCTGGTAACTATATTGTCCCTTTAAGTGATATAAAATATGTGTGCAATGGGAATAAAAATTAGAAGGAGACAGATTATTTCAATATTAAACTGCTTTGTTATCTTTAGCTTGCAGGGTTTCTGTAAAATATGATTGAAAGGTAGGATTTTAGTTTGCTCCTTCCAAAGACCAATGAAACTACTGAAAATATAAAAAAAAAAACCAAAAAAAAAAAAAAAAACCAGAGAGACAGATTAAAACCAGAAGTCATTTCTTATATTTATTAGGATTTTACATTATGCAGTTGTTTCATTTGTTTCCACCCTTGCCAACAAAAGTAATTAATGCATTTAAAATATAAATCTCAGATTACAGCATACATTTTCATTGCCATTCACATAATCTATTGTGAACAAAACTGTGCCACCTATGACAGATCACCTATTCAGCATTATAGATTGTCATTAATATTTTAACCATTTCACTTGCAGAATAGAATATAAACGTTTTTTACTTTAGTTTATTTTGCAGAATACATTTGGTCCACAAAGCCTCACTCACCCTCATTTATATTCTAGAAATGATTAGCAGCCTATAGAGGAACACATTGTCTGCCAGAAGCCACTGGTCACGAATTGAATTCCTGTGCGTTTGCTAAAATGTTGCTCACCCTCTACTTTTAAATAGTACAATAAATCTCACTAGGTCATATCATTCCTATGGTTAGGGAGGTTAGCATTACATTTCAGAAATAGATTAGGATTGATGTAGGAGATTTGAATACCTTTATTTTAACAAAATATTAAGTGTATACATGATTTTAACAGTTGTTACTGTATGTGGGCATTATGCTCAAATGTAGACTTTTTTTTTTTTTTTAATTCCGTTGCAATTTTTTGTAAGCTGTACTGCTATTAGTGCCTTCAGGGTCTTTACAAATACTTATAATCAAAGGTATCTGACCATTTTTATTTTTTCATTGTTGTCATACCTACTACATGTAAGACAAATATCAATTTTGCTTTTACACTAACATTTTAGATCCTGTGTGAAATATTGTAAGATAAAGGACACTGTATAAAGCTTTTAATTTCCCAAATAATTTTTTTAAAGGAACAACGAATAAATGAAAAATAAAAATGGTGTAAATTGACATATTATGAAGTGTCTGAAAGGAAATCTACAAAGTTTGTGTTTTATATATATCCCTTGCTTCAAACATGTTATGATATGTATTTAATCAAAAAGTACTCGTCAGTGAAGAGGTTGTTGCATGTGTTTTTAGCAGGGTTAATTACAAAAGAGAATTCAAAATGAATTTCAGATTTGAGGCCAGCGTAATCAAACAGTTGGCTTACAGAATTTTTCCAGTTTGGCTGTTTCGACCTTAAATTTGAAATCCACTTTGAATTCTCACGTTAGTGGAAATCATGTGTGTGTTATATTAATTGGAATACTGTTAGAAGAAATCTGTATTACATAAATAAAGCAACTGATCTATTTATGGTTTTGCAAGAAGTTTGGGTCAGAAAAACTATGAAGCTTTTTTGGACCTTCCCAGAGGTTCTTGTGTGGAAACCTATAAATATTTTAGATTAATTTAGGGGCTGGTGTCAGGGCTGACATCTGGGAATTTAAAAAAGGAAAGCGCCACACATGGTGTCTCACCATCGCTTCTGACAATGCCTAGCATGTGGGTGCACACTGAATGTTCCACGATGCCTTGTACAGCTGTCTGTGGATTCCATATTTGTATTATCTCTATGCCAATGACGTAGCAGCACAGGCAGTGGAGTGGTTCAAGGCACACTCACCAGGGCTTAATTCTACTAGTGAAAATTCTGAGCCTGGAATACATATTATACATACACAGACAGATTTTTATGCAAATTTACATTTACATAAATGTACAAAAGTAAGAGAGAGCAGAAGGAAATAAGAATCTTACTTATAGTAGACAGATGGCATTTATTTCTGTTCAGGATTAGTTTAATATATCAAGAAACCAATCAGAAAGATCTAATTTCTAATGTTTTTCCCCCCCAGCTTGTTCAGGTCTATAAAGTTTATTAAAAGGGACATTGTAGGCACTATAACAATTTGATTTCATTGAATTGGTTACAATGCCTGGAGTCTCCTGTCACTGCACCTCTATTTAGTGTTAAACCATTTTCGGGCAGTTTAACAGTGAATGAGGGTCCCTGGCATCACATAGCCCCTCCTCCACTGGAGGTGTGGCTAAAGACAAGATTACACACTTCCTTATGGTCATACCGATTCATACCTACAGTAGTACTGTGATAGGCTGAATGCGGTCAACTTCCCCAATCACAACCACCCATTGCGGATTAGGCTAATGCTTCCTGATTAGCACAAGCAGCACAGAAGATCATCAGTCAATGTGACCGCAGCACAGATACCAGCACTGTGTGGGAGAAAAGGCAATTAAATGACAACTATAGGCACCCAGACCACTTCAGCTTAATGAAGTGGTCTGGGTGCCAGGTCCAGCTAGGACTAACCCTTTCTTCTATAAACATAGCAGTTTCAGAGAAACTGCTATGTTTACAATAGGGTTAATCCAGCCTCTAGTGGCTGTCTCATTGACAGCCGCTAGAGGCGCTTCTTACTGTGATTTTTACAGTGAGAAGACGCCAGCGTCCACAGGAAAGCATTGAGAATGCTTTCCTATAGACTGGCTGAATGCGCGCGCGGCTCATGCGCGTTCAGCCGATGATGACGAGAAGGAGGAGGAGAGGAGTAGGAGAGTCCCCCGCCCGGTGCTGGAAAAAGAGGCCAATTTAACCCCTTCGACCCCCTAGAGCCCGGCGGGAGGGAGGCCCTGAGGGTGGGGGGGACCTAGAGACCCTATAGAGCCAGGAAAACGAGTGTTTTCTTGGCACTATAGTGGTCCTTTAAGAAGGAATTTTATCTCTTTCCAACGGGGGTTCGGGGAGCTTAAATTCTAACAGTGTCTGGAAAGCAGTCTCTTAATTTTACTCACAAAGGGTCTGGACAATGAATTAGCAATAAAAATATAGGAACTTGGCATTTGCTTTATTGATCAATGTCTACTCTAACTCAAATTATCAAAGCAAAAAAAAAAAAAAGCAACTGCCAAAAAGCTAGCAGAATATTGCAGAGGAAGATACCATTTATAGCAAATTAAAAAATCGAAATAAATGTTTTCTTTTTAAATGAATTCTATGCAAACTATAGGAAAATTAGGTATCACTATAAGAAGTGATCATCCTACTAGCAAAAATCTAATAATTCACTTGGGTCCTGACAATGTAATTATCCAAATACAAGCTTGCTCCAAAAGTGTGTTTAAAAGGACATGCATCAATTACTTTTTTTTTTTTTTTTTATACCAGAAATCACACACTTAAAAAATATATATATAAAAATCAAAATAAAGCAAGAACTTTGAAAAAGTATGTAATCAGTGTTTATAACCTGGAGTGGGCGTGGAAAGCATAAGAAAGAAGAAGCAGGTAAATATGAAAACAAATCACAGGTACCTTTATTCAGCCTGCAAAGCTAGACACTTTTGAATATGGCAGTTGTCTCAAAGTGATGCATATCTCTTTAAGAAAAACCTCTTTAGCAAAACTTAAATCGATTAACTGTTGGTATACTTTCGTGCATTGTCTTCTGTGATGTCAACCTAGTCTGAGTGATAATTTGCACAACCAAAGGCCATGTTTTTAAATTTAGGGAATATTAGACCAAAACAAAAAGCAAAGGTTATAGAACTCTTAGTTTGTGTATAACAGACCCTTGATTTTGCTTGTGGGGGAAAAAAAACAAACCTTTTGAGCCAAGTACCTTCAACTTACTGAGCAATGCTGCCATCTAGTGCTTATTTGTGGGATTTAATGTGTACCTAAAAAGGCTGAGTTGATTTTATAGAAATAGAATTGTATCTAGCACATGCATAGGTAAAGCTTTTTAATATTAAGGCTTTAACTCTTACCTTTACACCATTGTCAATGCTGTGTAAATAATTATAAATGTTGAAATTGATTTGCATACAGCATCACACAAATCTAGCTTGCAGATCAAAATGGAACATTGTAGGAGACTGCAAAGAGGATCCAGGAAAGGTTTGCTAATTTAGATCCACTGTGGTAACCAGAAAGCATTTTCTGGTGATTTTGCTAGCAACGGATTAATTACATTTTTATGATGAAGGGATCTTAGTGTCCTGAAAGCTTGCAAAATATCTTGCTTTCGTTAGTCCATAAAGGCAATGTTATATTGTTATTTAAAACCTAGGTCCTCCACACATTATGCATTACTTCATCTTTTCATGTCACTGTCTCTGTCTCATCTCTAATAATCAGTGACAAAGCTGGGACCATATGAATCTTTGCCAACACTATATTTTGGGGGACCTCATTTTTCAGCCCTACAAAAACCAAGGCAAAACCAACTTCCTGAATATAAAAAAAAATCAAATAAAAACAAACACTTTGTAAAGGTGATTAGTAAAGGTGCTGATGGCACCAGCCAGTTTAAGCAGGTCACAGAAAATAGCGTGCAAATAAAAATAATGTCTCCAGACAGATGCAGTCATTGACATTTACATTACATTTGCTTCAGTCAAGGTTTGAATATGTATGTAAATTTATGTGCACGATAAAATTTTTCTAGAAGAAATTTGAATAAGTTTGTACGTGCACAGTCCTCGGATTTCGTGTTTTAGTAAGGAGAGCCCAATCACTCAGGGAAACTGCACCTGTTTTCTTAATATGGGGGAGCGGGGACTTTATTAATTAAACTGTCATGGGAATTTAATAGAGCAGAGATGGGAATATTTTCTACCAAGTCTACTGTGGCCTAAAGTAGTTCCCTTCATTTCTTCCATAATTTCCATATTATTGAATAAACCCCTACCCATAAAGACCCTGTTACTTATTTAAGTCCTCTGACTTCCCTTTGCCGCATTATCGGTACAGTCTCTGTACACTGGAGATGGTCAGGATTTCAAATGGGTTACAGGCAATTGTTGTACATGTATAGTAACAACCTATAGCTTGAAGTCAGCCGTGTGAAGGTAAATTAAATTGTGTATTGCAGGTAGCTTAACATGACAAGTCTCCAGGGCAAAGGAAGGCTACTTTAGAATAATTATACATTTTTATCAAAAATAATGCTCTTTATGCAAGCAGTCTTTTATCCTTGTAATAATCAATTGTGGTCAGATTTCAAAAAGTCTTAAAGGAACACTATAGTCACCTGAATTACTTTAGCTAAATAAAGCAGTTTTAGTGTATAGATCATTCCCCTGCAATTTCACTGCTCAATTCACTGTCATTTAGGAGTTAAATCACTTTGTTTCTGTTTATGCAGCCCTAGCCACACCTCCCCTGGCTATGATTGACAGAGCCTGCATGAAAAAAAAACTGGTTTCACTTTCAAACAGATGTAATTTACCTTAAATAATTGTATCTCAATCTCTAAATTGAACTTTAATCACATACAGGAGGCTCTTGCAGGGTCTAGCAAGCTATTAACATAGCAGGGGATAAGAAAATCTTAATTAAACAGAACTTGCAATAAAGAAAGCCTAAATAGGGCTCTCTTTACAGGAAGTGTTTATGGAAGGCTGTGCAAGTCACATGCAGGGAGGTGTGACTAGGGTTCATAAACAAAGGGATTTAACTCCTAAATGGCAGAGGATTGAGCAGTGAGGCTGCAGGGGCATGTTCTATACACCAAAACTGCTTCATTAAGCTAAAGTTGTTCAGGTGACTATAGTGTCCCTTTAATTTAGGAGAAAATTGCAATTAAACCAACAATAATCTTGGTTTCAGCAGCTGTCCACATTATCTTGATTTAAATTTATTTTTTTAAATGATACCTTTCAATTTAAGAGCTATATTAAAATAATGATGCCAACATAGCAAAGCGAAGATCAAAATCTAATCTATGAAGCAAAGGTAAAGGACATTGGGACAGGTTATTAGATCGCCAAATGTCATGCGTACTCATAAGATACGTGAACTTTATTAACAATTTCAAACATCCAAGACTTAAATTCTTTGTTTTTAGATTAGCCTCACTGCATTCCACCAGAACAATTAGAGAAGTGGCAGTACCATGCAGGTTAATAATGGAGAGCGCTGTGCTCATTCTTCAAAGTGTGTTCTATCTTCTTTGGTTTGGACAATACCACAGGTTCTGCTCCTCTGATGTCTTTTACTGTATTCAGCAGTGCAATGAATGATCCGCCAGACACTGGAAAAATTACAAGTATTTGTCAGACCAGAGTAATAAACATTATGAATAGTTATCAAAGTATGGCCATGATTTAATATTTTTGGATAACCTTTTAAACGGTTTAAGATTTAGAAAATATTCTGAAAAAATATCTATACATATATCATTTCTTTTTAAGTATTTTTTTTTTTTTTTTTTAAAGTAATTTTAAACATGTATTCAAAATTCTAAATCAATGACTCTATTGGTTAATAGTACAGGAAAAAAGACAATTGCACAATAGTTCAAACCCTAAGAAAAAAAAAGAGGCACAGCAATTTGAAATCATGAAACACGTTTTTGACACCACGTAAGTGAAAACCAATGCTTCAACATTAGGGCGTAAAACATATTAAAAGGGTTTTCCTGAGCAATATAACAACCAATACTCATTGCACAGGTTGCTCACTTGCTTATAATTGCAGTAAATTGCAAATGACACCCACGTGCCAGAGAAGGAGATAATACTTTATCTTCTACCTGTAATTTGTTTTACGTCTAGCACACACACCGTTCTACCCGAGGCTCACCTCACTATCTGATAAAGAACCTGTAAGTGCGAACAGGACATTAATATCAGCTAACTGAGCAGCCCTACTCATCTTCTAAAATGAATGGAAATGCTTCAAGGGGTTGAACTACAATTCCGATAAACCTCTGCAGGGCACAGACTTAAGGCAATACAAGAACAGAAGACTTTTAGTTGGATGAGCCCCGTCCTGGACTGCACAGAATTTGTTTGCTGTATTTCAAGCAGCTCAGAGAATGATTTAAAAATTGAGTAATCTATTTTTAATTGCTTAGTTAGGTTGTACTAGGGTGGAATCCCTATACAGCATTGTAATTATACATTTTGCTTCTGATTTCATGTTGTGCAATGCCTATAAAGAAAAGTATTACAGCAAATTACTCTTACCCACTTCATCTCGGATGCTGCTCACTTCTTGCCAACTTTTTTCCGGGACACAGTTTTTGCGATGTTTGAGTATTTCTGCTTATCCTTCCTGCATGTAATAAACCAGAAGGAGGGTGTTTTGTTAAACTCAGATGGATGAAGGAAACAAAGTGGCATGGCTGCATTAGCTTTTACTGTGGGCATTCGCAACAGCAGCAAGTGCCAGCCCAGCACCCTATACAAACGCTATGTATGGAATTCATACCTGGACATTTTCACTCTGCTCCTGCAGCCTCGGCCTCCCTCCCAGTGGATAGAATGAAGGCTTTTACTCAACATGTTCCCACAGGAAATGCATGGTTTCAAATTAGTATAGGGCTGGTGGAAAGGGATGAAGCCAACAAAATAAGGACAGAGAAAATACAAAATACAAAAAGTGTAATGTTGCAGGAAATGTCAGCCTACTAAAACACAGAATGGAGAATCTAGAAGCAGAACGGAGGGAGGGGACTGTCAATGCAGCAAAGGGACATGTAAGACACAGCGTTCAGTAAAAAGGTGGTGAGAAGCCAAAATGAACAAGAAGCCGAAATGGAAACAGCAGGAAAAAGGAAGAGTTACATTGCTTACTAAAGGAAAGTACAATGAAATTGGGTTTACCAGCAATAAATAAAAATCTGATCAAACTATAAGGTGAGAACAAAAACAGACAGAGTAGTAGAAGTAGTGGAAACATTAATAGAAAAGGTAAAGTGGGGGAAAACTGCATGTACCAAGGTCCACATTTTTTTTTCTGAGGTCTGTAACAGAGAATCTAACCTGCTCCTTTGCACAATAACCACAGACCATGCGGGTAGCGAGTTCCATCTCATGGTCCTCTGCTTCATCGTGACAAATGTCACATGGATAAGTTTTTCCACAGCATGGAAACCTGTAAACAAAAATAGGGTTATCGTTCTGTGCAAAATAGATGGGAGACACGTGCACAGACAAGGCTTATAGTAATACAAAGACAGTTTGGTGCTAGGGTTGCTGTGCAGTAGTGCTAGACCAAGGTATGTAACAGTTCCCCTATTTTGTATCTACCTTGAACAATCTTAAAGGGACACTCCAGTGCCAGGAAAACAAACCGTTTTCCTGGCACTGCAGGTCCCCTCTCCCTCCCACCCCCCATCCCAGGTTGCTGAAGGGGTTTTAAAGGTGCTTCCTTCCTTTTCACAGAGTTTAACTCTATCTTGGATGGGCTTTCAGATGGAAACCAACATGGCAGCTATCTTTTTACTGCTTCAGATTGGCATCTGCAATAACTGCTTAAAGGACCACTATAGAGCCAGGAAAACAAACTTGTTTTCCTGGCACTGTGTAGTCCTTAGGTCCCCCCAACCCTCCTGCTGGGCTGAACCCCTTCAGCCACTTGCCTTTCTCCAGCGCCGGGCTTCCTCAGCGCCGCATGCGCATTCAAACTGCCCATAGGAAAGCACTCAATGCTTTCCTATGGACGTCATCGTCTTCTCACTGTGATTTTCACAGTGAGAATCGCGGAAGCGGCCTCTAGTGACTGTCGAGAGACAGCCACTAGAGGCTGGATTAACCCAAATGTAAACATAGCAGTTTCTCTGAAACTGCTATGTTTACAGCAGAAAGGGTTAATCCTAGAGGGACCTGGCACTCAGACCACTTCATTAAGCTGAAGTGGTCTGGGTGCCTATAGTGGTCCTTTAATCTCACTCCCTGCAGATGCAGAGCCCCACAGCTGCAATTTACAGCCTGCACCAACAGAGGTTTCACCTTGTCATTAGATCCTTCACCAGGAACAAGATAAATACATTGCGATGTACGGGGCTGGGCCAGGTGTACTCTGGACTCGGGAAAAAAAACAGGAATTGGGGGCACACCTGGAACATGCATTTCTACGTAGTAATTCTGCTGTAAAGACCAAAATATATATAAAATGCAGATCAAGGAAACACACACACAGTTTTAAATTGGTTTTCCAAAATTCAAACTATGTTTTTTTTGTCTGTGCTGTTCCTTAATCTGTACTCAGGACTCCGCCTTAGACAAACCTACCTCAGCCAGCGGCAGCTCTTCCTGTAGTGCTTGCACGTGCCTTTGTCAGGTAGCGATTTCCCTGGCTGGATAGCTGGGTCTCTCACTTTCTTCTTGCCGTAGGGTAGATTTCGGTTTACTTTAATAAATGAATACAAAGGAAAGTGTGCATGTAAGGGATGTACTTTGAAAGTCTGCTAAGTGTGCTAGCAGTGCTGTAATCTGCTTTTCAAACAAATCCAGATAAAGCAGTTGAACATTCTTAATCTCACAGTTTCTGAATACATGTTCAATATGATGGGATGAGAATGGGGAGCTTTACAGTTAAAATCCTAGCTTACACTACATATAATTCCATCAATAGAGTGCTGTAGATAGAATAGCAATGCTAAACGCATTAACTTGATAAAATAAATAAAACACCTTCAAAGTATCCATCAGATGCACAGTTTAGCAAGTCTTCCCACAGCTACAATATAATTACCAATATGGATACCGCACTCTCTTGGATCCCAGGGTGCAACTGGGCCCGAAGTTGGCCAACCCTCACAATGTGATTTGCTAAAAAGTAATAACAATACCAGTAATCCCACAGCTACAGGCAGACCCCTCTCTCAGCAAGAAGTGGTCTCCAACCAGTAGCATCTCATTCTGGTCCATGGGGTCTGATCTTATCCCATAAACCCCAGGAGATGTTTATGGGATAAGTGGTAATCCCCCAAGAGCAGTTTCACAAGTGTGTAAAGTTACAAGTGTGTGGTAGGAGAGAGAGATCAGCCCAAGCTGTGTATGTAGTGTACACATGTAGGAATAAATGTATATTGGACAGCTGAAACTGAGCATTCTGGCTCTATGCACCGTTACCTTTGCAATAATTGATCATTGTGATGGTGGTTAGGGTGACCCTTTAAACATAAACAGATCTTATGTGAAAGAATATGCTCTGAGAAGGTGAAAAGTGTAGTAAACAAGTTAAGGAACATGCATTTATTTTTATTGTTACAGAATTATAGCAACACGGGGGTTGATTTTAGTTGATTTAAATCTGTGCATTCATGATCATGATTTTAAGTACAGCTGTATTCGGATTGGCTGACGGAAACCAGCTACACAGAATTAAGCTTTAAATTCAATTTTATTTTTCTCTCCCTTTAGTTCTCATAGCTAGAGAACTACTTTGTCCAAAACAGAAAATAAGCAAATCTTATAAAGTTTATCTGTGTTTGTTTAGGGTGTTTTTTTTCCATATACGATACTGTAAGCTTACCATTAGCT